CCCTCCCTCCTCCCTTCCTTCCTTTTCTTTTTTGAGGACCTTCCATACTGTCCTTCATGAAAACTGTATTAGTTTCCATTTCCATCAACAGGAGGTTTTCTCAGTGCTTGCATGATAATGGCATAAACGCCGCCCTGTTACCTTCACATGTGAGCAGTAATTTGGATGGTTTTTGGATCCTAGATTTCAAATGTTTTTTTTTTTTTTTTTTTGTGAAGGCATTGAAGGCATCGATGTGCTGTTTCTGACACCAGTCTGATTGCTAATTCTTTCTCAGGCCCGACTTCTCTCTCAGTTCTCTCCTAAGATGTCTCCTTTACTTTGAAAGTCCTGACATCTTAAAAGTGCTGTCCTGCATATGAGTCCCACTCATCTGTCTTAACATACTGAGTGCAGATTACCTATCTTTACAAGTGGAAGAAATTCTCTTTCTGCTTCTCTTCCTACTGTGTCTTCTATGCTTCCTCTAGACTAGCAACAACCCTTTCACAGAGGTGGCCTAAGATCATCAGAAGACGCAGATATTGATATTACAATTCACAATAGTAGAAAAATACAGTTAAGTAGCAACAAAAATAATTTTATGGTTGGGGTCACCACAACACGAGGAACTTAAAGGGTCGCAGCATTAAGAAGGTTGAAAACCACGGCTCTAGACTGATCTGGAGGATGCTGGGTTTGGAAGCGGGTATCTTTCAACTTTTTGTATCCATGTATGTTCACATACAGAGCACTGTCGGGCACTTACCTCTGTTACCCTCTACCTTATTGTTCTGAGACAGATCTCTTACGGAACGCGGAGCTCATCAGTTTGGCTAGACTGGCTGGCCAGTGAACTCCAGGGATCCGCCTGTACTTGCTTCCCTCTCCAGAGTTTTGGGGTTCCAAATTCAGGTCCTTATGCTTCAGCAGCAAGCACCTCCCCAACTTTTACTTCATAGCTCACATCTTTGTGTAAATAAATCTTGTAGGAGATTCCCCAGCTTTACCTTTTTTTCCTTCTGCTAAAGCTTTTGATTTGGCAATCTGATTTTTAAATTTCCAGAATTCCTAACTTTGGATTACTTTTTTTTCTTTTTAAAGATTTAATGCTAATATTCTGGTCTTAAATTAATCTGTTTTCCCCCCTTTGACAAAATGTTCTTTTTGTCCATTTGTTAATGTGAAGTTAATATTTTTCAAGTGTGTGACAATCCTTTTGCCCATTTCTGTGTTTGAAAGAAGGATGAAGATGGTTAATATCTTCAAACAGTGTGAAATGGTTTTCCCCCAGATGCCTTTCATAGACTGAGGGATGGAGACACTCTGATTATGATGCTTAAACCAGGCTTCACGTTGTGTTGCCAAAGCAGGAAGTGAGCAATGAAACCAGGTTCCATGCTTACACTGGTCATCTTCTTTCTTGGATCTTTGTTTTTGTGGTGTCTTTCTCTATAGCCCAGACTAGCCTTGAACTCACAGTAAACAAATTTTCTACCTTAGGCTCCTATGTTCTGGGGTTATAGGTTTGAGCCACTATGCTTGGCTTTTCTTTAAGATCTTGATTTCAGTGGGGGATAAACATTGAATGTACTGTTCTTCCAGCTGACCACAGAGGTGATGGGTTCAAAGGACCAAATGATAACAGACTTTCAACTAATTGCTGGTGATATCTCTTCTGCTCTGCATCCTCCAGACTCTGAGGTATCTCTGGGACTCTGAAGGAAAGTCTGTTGCCTTCTGTAGTCACATCTTATCCCATGAATGTATTTGAGATGGCAGCCTCTCCACGGAACTGGCTATCATCCCACAGGCTTTCCACCTCCCAGAAGGTCACCAAAGTCTCTGGTTTGCTGATGGTTGAAGCCACACCGTTTCAGCTGCTCCCACTATTCTTCCTTATGTCATTTCAGTCTAAATGAAAGAGGGAGGCTGCTAGGTGCGGGACCTCATTCTGTCACCTCAAGCTGCAATGTGTGTAACTTCTAAACCAGAATGCAGGGTTAAAGATATGGGGTCATGGGTAAGATTGCTTGCCAGAAAAGCATGAGGACCTGAGTTCAAATCTCCAGCATCCACATAAAAACCTAGGCTTGACCAAATACATACCTCTGTGGTGGTTTGAATAAGAATAGCCCTCCTAACAAGGGAGGAGGAGTAGGAAAGGGAGCTGGGATTGACATGTGAAGTATTCATGTTTCTAATTTAAATAAAAACATATATTGAGGGAAAAAAAGAATAGCCCTCCTAGGCTCATATGTTTGAATACTTGGTCTTCAGTTGGTGGAACTGTTTGAAAAGGATTAGGAGGTGTGGCCTTGTTAGAGGAGTTGTGTGACTAAGGATGAGCTTTGAGGTTGCAGTAGACCTGTGCCATTTCAAGTCTCTTGCTCTCTCTGGATCAAGATGTAAACTCTTAGCTACTGCCACAACACCGTTCCTACCTGCCTGCTGCCACACTCCCTACCATGGAAGTCACGGACCCTAACCCTTTAAAACCGTAAGACCCAAATAAACTCATTCTTCTGTAAATTGCCTTAGACACGTTGTCTTGTCACAGCAATAGAAAAGTAACTAGATAATCTGTAGCCCCAGTGCCGTGGGGTACAGGAGACAAGAGGATTGCTAATGCTTACTGAACACAGGACTCATTCCAGGCCCAGTGAGTGATCAGACAATGAGAGAACAAAACATCCCCTGTCTTCTGGTCTCCCTGTGGGCAGAGACATGTGTATCTGCTCACACATATGCATGCATTACATACTTACTTTACACACACTAAAACAAACAACCCCCTAGCCCCTGAGAATGCATCACTCCCTCCCTTGTTTTTTTTTTTGTTTTTTTTTTGACACAGGGTTTCTCTGTGTGGCTTTGAAGTCCAGGCTGGCCTCCAACTCACAGAGATCTATCTGCTTCTGCCTCCTGGGTGCTGGGATTAAAGGTGTGTACTATCACCACCCAGCTTGCTTCATTCCGTTCTTATCTCTTTAGTTATTTAGGATGAACAGTCTCCTCCACACCAAACTTCAGCAGAACAAAATGGTTGTTCTCAAACATATCTATATGTCTATACATCTATGTCTGTCTATCTATCTGTCTGTCTGTCTGTCTGTCTGTCTGTCTGTCTGTCTCTCTCTCTCTCTCTCTCTCTCTCTCTCTCTCTCTCTCTCTCTCTCTCTCTCTGTGTGTGTCTGTCTATCTCCTTTTTTCTCTTTGCCAGTCTCATGGTACTGCCCTATATACATGAACTTTTAGGACATGAATTTTTTTTTCTGAGACATGGTTTCTCTGTGTAGCTCTGGCTGTCCTGAATAGACTTCGAGCTCAGAAATCTACCTGCCTCCCAAGTGCTGGGACTAAAGGCGTGCACCACCACCACCCAGCTTAGGGCACAGACTTTATGAAACTTAGTCTATGGGTAGTTTTATTTATTTAATTTTGGTGTGCTCTGTGTGTGTGTGTGTGTGTGTGTGTGTGTGTGTGTGTGTGTAGGTCAGAGGTAGATATTGGTGTCTTCCTCTATGTTCTCCACATTGTTTTTGAGGGACAGTGTCTCAGTGAACTGAACGTCACCCATTTGGTGAGGCTGGCTGGCCAGCAAGTCCCAGGGCCCAGACCATTCTGTCTCCCCTGGTGCTGGGATTATAGTGTATACCTTTCACATTTGGTTTTTGCACAGTTGCTGGAGCTCAGACTCAGGTCCTCATGTTTGTATAGTAAGTCCTTACTGACTGGGTCATTTCCCTGTTCTTAGCCTGGAACTTCTCCTCACTAATGTCAGTCAGTCTTCAGATAATTAAAAGATGCCAGTTACAGTGAATGCTTAAGAGGACTTACAGATTCATTCTTTCATCACAATAACGTTTACTTTTATTTGTGTGTGTATTTCTCTCTGTTTGCATGCCCACATATGTACAGGCATGCTCAGATGCCAGAATAAGTGTCAAGTCCCTTGGGACTGCCCATGATAGGAAATGGAACCCTGTATGATATGGTTGCTGCAGACCAAATTCTAGTCTTTCGCAAGAGCAGCAAGAGCTCTGTATCTGCTGAGCTACTTCTTCAGCCCCTAGAATGCTATTGAAGTTCCAGGATCAGTACTGATCATTCATTTGATATGTGTTGTTTTACTCTCTTCCTGTTCTTATCCATAGATGCCTCCTAATGAATCCTCATCAACAAACATTCTAGAAGTTACTAATCAATCAGTTTCAACCAATATGTAAAAGGGGTAAACTAAACTCAAAGACTTCACTTTTAAAAATAAAGGGACAAGACCCTCACTCAGCCCCCTGTTTTATTAGCCATTATAGGCTACAGAAAAGACACGTGGGCCTCTGACACAAGGAAAACTCCAGATCCTCTGGCTTCCCAGAGCCTAGGGCCAAAACTGAACATAAACTCCAAACCCCTTGCCCCCAGCCTCCTAGATGCTTGGTTCCTAGGAACTGTTGGGCCACAAAAGAAACTCCAGGGGAGACCAAAACCTCCCCTGTTGTCTTCAGGATTTAGTTCTAAAATCTACTGGTATCTATGTACAACAGGCCACCTGCAAGTAACAAGGCAATGCCATAGAAACCACAGAATGTTCCCTCTCAACACTGACCAATGAAAATAATTGGTACACGGGTATTTCATGCCAAAGTATGACTTTGAGAAATTCTCCTAATTGCCCCAAATGTCAACCAATCAGAAACCAACCCGTACCTACTGATGCAATCCTTTAACTTTTGTCTATAAAACCTAACAGTAGACAGGGAACTCACTCCCTCTGGGGGCTGCTGCGACAGCTAGTCAGACGGGGTCCCTGTCATGGTTGGATGAACAATCATTAATCCTTGCTTTTGCATTTTGGTGGGTCTGTCTTCCTGGTGGTCTCTGGGGACTTTGCAACTTGAGCATAACAAACGGATTTCTTAGCAATGGTGTACAGTGTTTCCCCCTCTTTGCTTTTAACATTCACATATAATGTTAACCTCAAAAGAAATAGACAGATTAAAAAATACTATATACCTTAGTATAGGAAGAAAATTTATTTCATTTTGTCAATGTCCTCTTCTAGGACTTTGTCTTCAAAGCACTAGGTCAGCTACTCAAGATGAAACACATCCTCTGTCCAGATGTGATATTTCAAAATGTCACAAGAGAGAAACACATGCCACAAGATAACACGTTAGGTCAATTTCAGTAGTTACAAGTGACCTGTTGGGAAAGCCAGTGCTTGTGTGACTATGACAAAGCACCAGGCCAGTCAAGTAAGAGCCATGTCAGATGAACCACAAACCCTACTCCACAGACTTAAAGTGACACAGCCTTTTATTTCCTGCTTTGGTTCGTGAGCACTGAGAGGCAAATGCCGGATCTGCTTGGGGTGGGGTGGGGTGGGGTGGGGACACTAGAACAAATGTAGTAAGGAGTTCTCCAGACAGGCAATCTGGAAGGTACACCTGTAGACACAGTTCCTGGCTGTTTGAAGCAAGGTTACTATTGGGACACAAATGTTTCATGTCAGTGACTGGCAGGGTTAGAGAAGGACACTGCCAGTGTCAGATGAAAAGATTTCTCTCTTGACAGTGTTAGTGTGGTATGAGCTGCTGAGGGCATGAAACCAATCTGTGACGATGAGGTAAATGTTTTGAAGTGAGTCAACACAGTCCCACAGTAACGCTATTATTAGTCTATCTCTTGTTGTTTTGTTTTTGAGACAGGGTTTCTCTGTGTATCTCTGACTGTCTTGGAACTTGCCTTGTAGACCAGGCTGACCTCGAACTCAGAGATTCACCTGCCTCTGTCTCCGGAGTGCTGGGATTAAAGGAGTGTGCCACCATGCCAGGCTGTATTATTAGTCTAGTACATAAATTCCAGTCTGTTTTGGATTTATATAGATATAATCATTAGGTGAATAATTAGGATCTGTCTCCACATACTCACTCAGTAGAATTTTTTGGTTCAGACATGATGATTAAAATGAAATAAAGAAAAATCTTCTTGGGTCATATCATGATTCCAAAAAGAAATAGACAGTAGCTCCACAAGACAGAAAATTCAGATTCTACTTAAGTAGTACCTTTTTTTCCTCTGTCATGAAAATGCATCTAGAGTTTTTAAAATGGAAGAGGCCATCGTATGCCTCCATTTCTACAGTACTTGGAGTTCCAGGGACTTGCTCAATAGTCAGCTGGTGTCTAGTAATATTATTCAACAGGTAGCTACGTGTTCTCTGTCCTCATTCCCCACGTGTTGCTGAAAAGACCTTCCAGAGCTCCCATCTTCCACAAGAAGCTAATTCGTAGATTGCTCAGCCACAAAAGATGAAATCTCAGCAGTTTCTCCATCAATGTATGTAGATTCTTGTGAAGAGAAACTTGTTTGACAGTCTAAAGAAAAAAAATGTCTCAAAGCTAAACTTCCCCCTATTTCATACTCAATGGAAGCAATTATGTGACATCTAATTGTGTTTCGGTTTCCAGGATTCTTTTGATCTCCTGTGATGGGAGTCTCATGTAGCCCAGGCTTAGAATTCACTATATAGCTAAGGACGAAGTTTGGATTCCTCTGCCTCCACCTGCCAAGTGTGGCATTTTAGTTTTAAGGAACAAACCTTTCTTTGGTTATATGAGGAGAGCTATTGAGGAGTTGCATAAGAAAATGAACGCTGGCCATTTGTTGATTCTTCGCTATATGACAACACTACATAAACCAGAGAAGACAGATGCGGGAATAGTTCAAGTGGTATCTGTGGGACATGTTGCACAGTGTCACAGAGTCCCCTGGAGAATGTAGACTATTTTATATCACCTGGGACTCAGATATGCTGATAGCTTCTCTCCCTTCTTGAAGATACTCTCTAGAGATTAACTGTGTCCCTATGAAACATCACCTGCATGAAGCTATACACCCATATGTCATATATCAGAACGTGTGTTCAAGAAAGCAGCCTTTTAAAGTCCCACTGTGAATAATGGAGCATCATTTTACAAGGCCGTTTGCTTATATTCTTCTGAAAATTGTCCCTGTGTTTTTGGAGTTAGGTGGACATTTCCAAGGAGTTCATAGGCATCTTGTGTGTTGGGGAGACTCTGCCTCATGTCCTGGGGAACCTTTGGAATCTGAATACCAGTGCTGTTGTTTGGACAGATTCTCTGACCCTGATATGCCTGGGCCTGGCGCTTGCAGATGCCAAACTTGCTGAGCAGGATGAACACGTCCCTCTGGAAGGCTTTGGTGAAAATCGCATAGAGGAATGGGTTGGCACAGGAGTTGAGGGGGTAGAAAAGAACCAGCAAGATCTTGGAGTTAGTAACGGTGATAAGGGGCTTGTTCATAAGTGCTGACAGGGCATAGAAGGAGATGGGGGCCATGCACATGAAGTCGGTGAAGATCAACACAGCCATCCTCTTGGCAACCTTGGTGTCTTTATCTCGAGGGTTGTACTGGGGATTTCGGACTGTGATATAGATCTTCACATAGCAGGAACAGACAATGACAAAGGCGACGACATTGAGCAGCAGAACAAGGACAATGTACGCTAGAGCAAGAGGCGTGTCGGTGTCCATTGGCAGGCAGATGCTGACCTTGGCATAGCTGCTTATTCCCACCATGGGGAGCAGGGCAAGCAGGAAGCAGGCAACCCAGCCACCAGCCATGATGGTGTATGCGTGCCTCAGGCGGATCTTCCTATCCAGGCGCATGGCGAAGGTGATGGCATACCATCGCTCCAGGGTGATGACTGTTAGTGTGTACACTGAGAGCTCACTGGCAAAAACAGTGAAGAAACCCGCCGTGTTGCACCCAGGGCCTGTCTGCCAGTCAATGGCGTGGTTGTAGTACTCAGAGTGTGTATACAGGTCTACAGAGGCAATGAGAAGCAGGTATACACCCATGCAGAAATCCGCAAAGGCCAGGTTGCACATAAGAAAGCGTGGCACAGTCAGTTTGTAGTGGCTAGTAAGGAGAATAAGTAGGACAAAGATATTGCCCAGGAGAGCCAGCAGACTGACAAACCATACCACGATTCTCAGGAACTTGTAGCCCATGATGTCTTCACAGGGGTTAAACTCATCTGACTTGGGGGTACACACCATGTCTTCATTGTCCCCACACACAGTGTAGTCATAGTGGCTGTCAAACGCTTGCAGAGTCTCTTCCTGAGGATTTTTGAGCTCCTGGCCAAAACCAATGATCTCCTCTTCTTGTTCTTCAAAGAATACGTAATAATGGGAGTCGCTGGGGCTCTCCTGGAACTTTGAGTTTTGTTTGTACCTGACACTGTTGTCACCAAGATCTTCCTCATATTCCTGGTAGATGGGACCTCTCAGGACATTCACCGATTTTCTTTGACGCAGATTCCGGAAACTGCTCTCATTACACATCAAAGACTCTAGGATTCTGTAAGGCAACAGATACGAGTCACCTCTTACTTAAAGTACACCTTTAACCCCCTCAGGCCCTGGGAAGATACGCAAGTTATTTCATTTGGTGTTCATGGTGCTACCAATTCTGCATGGCCTGATCAGGCCTGCTTCTGTTACATCGTTGAAAACATTTACTTAATTTATGATGTGTGCATGCACCACAGGGCAGTATGGAGTTCAAAGTGTAATGACAGAACTAAACCTTCCTAGTCAGAAATCACTCCAAGCTCTTCAAAGATTAACGAGAACACTTTAATAAAAGCATGCATCTAGATTCTGGCTAACCCTAGGGGATCCCAGCCACGGACAGAAATCCTCTCCAGCCTGGAGGCTTGAGCTATAACATGGTAACCTTACATCTGCTTTTATCTGTAGGTGGCTTTTTAAGCACCCATCCAAAGCTGTGTTTTCTGAGCAATGAGGCGGGTTTCACAGAAACAAAAGAAGGAGCAGTTTTTGGTTATCTTTAGATTATACTGAGCAGCATAGATACAGCTCTCTGTTAAACAAACCAACTTTGCTGTCTGAACAGCTGGTATCCTAGACCATTTTCTCCTTGCTTTTACTGAGGAGAAGAGGGGCTCTCCATGAGCGAGTTTTAAAGAAACATGTCCTAATTTATTTTACCAGTAAAACTCTGCCTTCCCTATCTTACACCTTCTAAGGTGTATTAAGGGGCCAAGTATGCTATTTGTCTTAGAGTTGTGTCAGAGGCAATACTTCAAATACATTCTACTTGTGTGTGGGTGCTGGGGATGGGACTCAGAGGTCACTAGACTTGACAGCAAGCACCCCCTGAGCCGCCTTTCCCACCCTCTACTACATCAACATTGACCCTATTTTCCATCATCTTGAACTACTTGAAGAAGAGTCATGATTAAAGAGCATGGGCATTGGAGCCCACTTAGAACATAGCTCCTTCAGTTACTAGCAGGGCCATGGTGGCTAGGTCTGTGAAACTTGTTCATGTGTGAATGGAATGAACGCATTGAATGAACAGATGAGTATCCTTTCCAAGCTGTTACACCAGCACTGGGGGCATGGACTGTGGCATCTACGTGTTTGTTAACACTATTCCTGTTCCGAGTTCAGAGCTCCACACTCCCTTTGCCTAGAAACTGATGGCCACCTCTACTCACTCTTCAGTTTTAAACATATGCTGCTTTCTTCATAGGCTCTTTCCTGATCTCTTTAAATAAACCACCCCACCCCGTGCTTCATCCCTTCACAGCCCTGACTGACATTTCCTTCTTTCTCTGTTGACTTCCTTCAGTAGATTCTAACTATGTTCAAGAAGCCTCCATGTACTCTGCTGGCTAGGACAATGCCAGGCACGTAGGAGATGCTCACTAAATATTTGCTAACAAATGAATAAAGGGCCACAGCATACAAGTATACTCATAATAATACGACTTACTTTTTCAATTTTTTTTTGAGATTATGGTAGAATCATGTCATTTCCCCTTGGGGACCCTCGTATACCCTTCTTTGCTCTCTTTCAAATTCATGACCCTTTTTTCATTAGTTGTAGTTATTGTTGTTATTGTGTGTGTGTACGCATAAATACAACATGTTCAGCCAGTATAGTGTTATTTGTGTGCATATGGCTTTAGGGCTGACCATTTGGTATTAGACAATCCATCAGTGTGCCCTTCCCTGGGAAGACTGTTTCTCCTACTCTCAGCTTCCTTGTTGTCTGCTGTTCTTTGTGTAGGGTTGAAGCCTATGGACCTTTCCTGCAGCAGCATCCATGTATCTACCATTGATGTCCTTGTTCAGTTCCCATGTAGCTGTGTTGGCTCAACTCCATGGGTGTAGCTTCTGACATTCCTAGGAGACACACTCGCCTGGCAGACTCTCTGTTCCTGTCTCTTGCAAGCTTTTCATCCCTTATTCCTCCCTTCCTAGGCCTTGGGTGCGGGAGTTATGCTGTAGTCCAGTTGGGACTTGAAGGATTTACATTTATACTACATTGCCAGAGCTGCATCTGCCATGGAGGTTCACTCTAACCATGACTTCATCTCTGATCCTTTTCCCTTAGTGTCCTGTGGTGATAGTATAGCAACTGATATCAACACCCTGTGCCCATGCAGTTATTATGGCCACAGTGGCCCTCTTTGCCTGGCTCTTCAACTTTCTTTTTTTGCCTCTGTGACTAGGTCCTGTTTTTTTTTTTTTTTCCTGGTTAAAATTGTGAATGTAGAAAGTCACCAAGTAGATGCTTGTGTAGAAACTAAAGGAGACAGAAATAGTTAAACCAAGTTGGAGTTAGAACAGAAGGTGGCACAGGACACAAAATAGGAGATAGGTCAGAACAAGAATCAGACACAGCTTGGCGTGTAATGAAGGAGTCTCTCTCCTTGGCACTCCTGTGAGCGGTCAGATTGTACTGGCTGGTTTTGTGTGTCAACTTGACACAAGCTAGAGTCATCAGAGAGGAAGGAGCCTCAGTGGGAGAAATGGCTTGATGAAATCCAGCTGTAAGGTATTTTCTCATTTAGTGATCATGCAGGGAGGGCCCCGCCCATGGTGGGTGGTGCCACCACTGAGCAGGTGGTCCTGGGTTCTATAAGAAGGTGACATGAGCTGGCTACGGGAAGCAAGCCAGCAAGTAGCTGCCCTCCAAGGCCTCTGTGTCAGTTCCTGCCTTGGGGATCCTGCTCTGTCTGAGTTCCTGTCCTGACTGCCTTCAGTGATGAACAGCAATGCTGGAGTGTAAGCCAAAAAAAACCCTTTCCTCCCCAACTTGCCTTTTGCCTTTTGGTCATGGTGTTTTGTTGCAACAATGAAAACCCTAAGACACAGATATTGAAATAATATTTGTCATAGTCTATATACAAATTGAGACAGGGTTTCTCCGTGTAACAACAGTCCTGGTTGCCCTGGAACTCATGCTGTAGACCAGGCTGGCCTCAAACTCATTGAGATCCGCCTGCCTCTGCCTCCCAGGTGCTGGGATTAAAGGCATGGGCTACCACCACCCGGAAAGTACTTTTTACTTATTACATTGCAGATAGTCAATTTCAGGTGTTTTCCGGTAAACAACTTTTATCTTCTCAAAACCCCTAATGATGACAACGTGATGTCACGATGTAACGATCTCAATTCTTAGAAGCTCAGAGTAGTTGAGTAAGTAGGGCTGTGATAACACAGCTAGTCGCTGATAGGGTTGGGATGCAAGCCAAACCTTCTTCCCTGTCTGTGCACGCCGCACAAGTTAGCTCCACAGTGAGCCCTGTCTCCATGACATCATATCTTATTGTCTCCCTTTCCCCATGAAGTCCAACGATGTGGGCCTTATTTCTCGTCGGCAACCGCTTTGCTCCCAGGACTTTCCTGATTATGTGGATGCTTCCAGTTCTGGGTTTTAGATCAATCACATTCTTTCCCAAATCTAAAAATGAATCCAACTCCCATCATGGCCTCTCGTTGCTTATTCCGGGCCCCTGCTACTCACCCCCTGATTTTCTTCTGGTTCTTAAAGGCACAGCAGTGGCTCGGGTAAGACAGGTCAGCCCTGGTGAGGTGGAGGAAACTCAGGGACAGTGGAAGCTTCTTGAGAGTCCAAGTGTCTTTTGCGATCAGTTCTTTCAGGTGCTCCAGGCCTTTGGAGGGGAGGGCAGTGACACTGGTGGAAGACACGTCTCTGGGGGGTTCAGAGGACAAAACAACACAGACAGGCAGTGAGCAGCCAGGGCCTTCCGGTCTTCGCTCCCCCTGGTCCCCCAAATCAAACAGTCCTGAGACTAACGGGGAGATGACAAGTTCCTTTCTGCTACTGACTGTGCAGCCTGAGTTCTTTACCTATATCCACTGGTCCATAGCAGATAGGAGTTTCTAAGCCAAGGTTACAAAGAACTGCTGTTTTTTTTTTTAAAGTTTTAATAAGTCACTGTTTGGTGTGTTTGTGTGTGTGCATATATATGTGTGTGTGTATATATATACTGTGTGTATATATATAGTATGTATATATATGTATAAATAAAATGTGTGCGTGTGTGTATATATATATATAGTGTGTGTACATATATATAATGTGTGTATGTGTGTGTATATATATAGTGTGTGTATATATATAATGTGTATGTGTGTGTATATATATAGTGTATGTATATATATAGTGTGTGTATATATAGAGTGTGCATATATATAGTGTGTACGTGTGTGTATATATATAGTGTATGTGTGTATGTGTGTATGTGTGTGTGTGTGTGCACGCATCCATCCCAGTACACACATACCATGGTATGCATATGGAAGTCAGAGGGCAGATTGGTGGAGTTCTCTCTCTCCTTTCATCTTTATGTCGGTTCTGAGGATTGAACTCTGATCTTCAGGCTTACATGGCAAGTGCTTTTTACCTGATGAGCCATCTTACCAGCCTAGAACTACTGTATTCATTGCACAGAAGTCTTGCATTTAATCAACACAAATACATAAACATTTCATTCTTGTGGTAAACCCTTGGGATCAGAGAGGGCTATGAACATTATTTTTAAAATGATATCATAAAACTATTAAAAGATCTCCAAAAAAATCAGACAAGGTCAATGGCACCTAAACCTTTCTGGGGGTGGGGGCTTGGGTCTGGAGACACATAAACTACTCCCTTGTTGGGATTAGCATCAATATTATGAAAATACTCTCCATTACATGCAGAATTTAAGGATTCAATAGCTACATAGTGAGTCATGACTGAGAACCCTCCCCAACACAGTTCCTTTTTAGAAGACTGCAAATAATATTCCTATTTTTAAAAAGCTAATTGTTTTATTAATAATCTAAAAATTACTTCTGCAAACTGTGGGAGGGAGATGTAGTGGGGCTAGGAGTTGTATATTAATATTAATTATTAAAGTAGAATGGTTTTTGGCTTTTAAGTAGCAATTCTCTCTTCTCTAGTCCCAAAGAGTATAGACTGTATGTCTTGTTGATGATTTTTCTTGCACTGAAAAATAGCTTGAATAAGGTCATGAATATTTAACCTGTCATCTCTCTTCTTTTTATTTCATCACTTAAAATAGTCACTATGCATTCCCTGTCTAAGGCTTTCATATTTATATTTACGATATTTACTATAAGCTGGTTATGGTGGTAGATGCCTTTAACCTTAGCACAGGGAGGCAGAAGCAGGTGGGTCTGTAAGAGGGCTAGCCCAGCCCGGTTTACATAGCAGGTTTCAGGACATCCCCGACTACACAGTGAGACCTTGTCTCAAAAAAAAGGGGGGGGGGAAACCAATTTAAACAAATTAATATAAGCCTTGCATGATGGCATATGCCTGTAATCTCAGCACTTGGAATGTGGAGGCTGGTGAATCAGGAGTTCAAGGCCATCATCCTTGGCTACACAGTGGGTTCAAACTAGCCTGGACTATAAGAGAAACCCTGTTCACATAACCAATCGCTCTCTAATAGAACTTAAGTCTGACTTAGCAAGAGGGAAATCATGCTTGCTACTGGAAACCTAGCCAACTAGCAGGGCTAGTAAAGTCCTGGACCTTGGAGGAGAGCCTACAGCTGCCACTTTACTAAGCCAGCGTATCCCTAACTACATTTGAAATATTTGTCTTATACTCACAGATGAGTGTAGACCTCACTCCTCATGAAGGAATCCTCTCTTTGCAACAGATGGGGACCAGCACAGAAAATCACAAGCAATCCAAGTGCAGAGTTGGGGAGCCCAGTCCCAATGTGGACATCTATAGAACAATTCCTAAACCCAAGGCTCAGGGATCATTGTAGAAGAAGGGGCAGGAAGATTGTAAATGAGAGGAACAGGAAGTTTGTGTCTCCTAAGAATGTCACCCATAATGTCTCACTGACATGACTTCCTAAACAGCTGAACAAGGACAACAACTATAGACATGCCAACGTTGATGGGGGAAGCCCAGAAGTCTTCCACCCTACACAAAGAATTACAGGCAATTAGGGAATGCTGAGAGTAGAAATAGTCTTCCCCAGGGAAGCACACGCCAGCTAGTTATCTCATCCCAAATGGCCAGCCATAAAAACGTGCATATGAGTAAAATTATACAGCCTGAGCAGGCTGCATCTAATGTATTTAGAAATATGTAGGTATATACATGCGCATACATGCATGTAACAATAATTAAAAACGAGGCCATGGATTTGAAAAAACAATGAAGAGCAATTGTTGGGGGGGGCGCTGCAGGGAGGAAAGGGAAGGGGGATGATGTAACTATATTATAATCTCAAAAAAATCAATAACCAACTGAAAAGAAAAAACAATTAGCAGCATCTACTTAGCAAGTGAAATGTAGTGTTGTTAACTTCTTCCATTACAACCGGATTTAACTGGGATTACACTACCAAGGTTCCAGCCTCCTCCTCCTCTTATTTTCCTCCTCCTCCTTTTTTAAAAAAACAAATATAAAGCTCATATATTATCCTTGTTGTTACCATAGAACTATGATCCTTGTGGGAGGAGGTGTCATATTTGTTATCTTGGTTTGTGTTTTATTTAAAATTCTGCGGTTCTGTGTTTTCCAACCTTGCCCGTTAACGAGAATGAACTTTGGCACTTGTCACTGAGTGTTCTCCAGGTGATTAGCACCAGAGAAGGAAGTTTGGGAAATTGGCACAAATAACTCTGCAGCTGGGGAAAGAGCAGAGGGAGGAGAAATCGCTGAACTTCAGCGCAGCTGTGAAGTGTGGCCTCTCCTGTCCTTTGGATGGCCCTCACTCACTCCCCGCTCCCCCAGGGATTCCCTCCCCCATCTTCAAGGTCAGGCCATCTTTCAACTCCAGTTTCTCTTGAAGCAACTTAGCTATCTCTACCCCGTGGTTTGTCCGTCTGTCTGTGGTATCGAAGGAGGATAGCATCTTTTAGCTCATTTCACCTGCTTTGCTCTCTTCCAGGCATAGCATGTGCAATGACCCCACATAAAAATTGTGAACTTGCTTAGAATATGATGAGATGTGTATGTGTGATTTGTTGTTGTTGTCGTTTTTACAACTTGGGTTTGCATTGTGGGTGACGCCATGTCTGGGCTGGTGGTCCTGGCTTTTATGAGAAAGCAGGTTGAGCAAGCCACGGGAAGCATGCCAGTAAGCAGCACGCCTCCACGACCTCTGCATCGGCTCCTGCCTCCAGTTTCCTGTCCTGTTTGAGTTCCTGTCCTGACTGTCTTCAGTGATGAACAGTGATATGGGCACATAAGCCAAAGAAATCCTTTCCTCCAAGGTTGCTTTTGGTCATGACATTTCATCATAGCATGCAGAAACTCAAACAACAGGCATGGACAAAGTCAGGGTTGGATCATGAATACACAACTGAGCAACATCTGGAGCATGATGTGTACTTGGAATTCAGTGGAGCTCAATAAATCTTCATTTGCCCCCCCTTCTTCAACTTTGAGTTTATCTGAACTCAAGGCCAAAGCAAAGGATCCAGTCAATACAACTCCAGCCTGCGTAACTAGTCTGAGTAACTGCTCTTTGGACATCTTTACCTGTCTGCAGACATCTCCAGTTAATCAGAGTCAAAACTGAGGCGTGGCAGGAGTTTGCGGTTACCTACTGCCACCCCTCCTCTTTATCCTCTATTTTCCCCTGTCATAGCAATCAGTAATCCTATAGTTCAGTTACTCAAACTTGGAGTAACTCCAGTATGCTGAACTTCAACATTTAACATAGCAAAGAGCTATGAGTTAAACTTCAAAGATATCAAATCCACCCACGTCAGGCAATTTGTACCTCTGTGCTCTAAATCTGCGCATTTTACCAACTTTACTTTGAAAAGTTTTAAAAAGATAAGTTGTATCTACACTGAATACACACACACACACACACAGAGTTTTTCTCATCATTCCCCCCCAATAAAATATGGTGATATTAGCATAGCATTTACTTTGCCTAAGGTATCATAAGCAATTTAGAGATTATTTAAAATATAAGGGAGGACATACCTGGGCTATATGCAAATACACTGCTACTTTTATAAGGAATTTGACCAGTCTGAGTTTTGATATTCTTATTGGCTCCTATAGTCAATTCCTCTCATATGTCAACAATGCCTGTTTTTTTTAAAACAGGAATAATTTTTAATAAAGATTTATTGTTTATTATGTATACAGTGTTCTGCCTGCATGTATGCCCACAGACCAGAAGAGGCACCAGATCTCATTACAGATGATTGGGAGCTACCATGTGGTTGCTGGGAATTGAGCTCAGGACCTTTGGAAGAATAGCCAGTGCTCTTAACCTCTGAGCCATCTCTCCAGCCCAACAATGCCTGTTTTAGTTTAGGTTTTCTCACTCCAGCTAGCAGCATCTTTTGCTGCAATAGCTTTTTCGTTTACTCTTTTCCCCTTCTGATCTGTTTTTCAGACACCACCTAGAATTGTCTCGAGAATCAAGGAATGTCACTCTCCTGCCCAACTTCCCTGTGTCCTCAGTGTCCTATCCACTCTTTGTCTTGTCCTCCAAGGCCTTGCAGATCTGGGCCTTGACGACCTCTTTGGTCTCAGGGGTGTAAGACCTCTTAATGTAGCTCTAAGCATCCATGCACCTGCTGTGCTCCGGGTGTCCTGGTGTGACTCTCCAGAAGCAGGCTGTTTCACCCAGGCTGCTTCACTCTTACAGGGTCGAGTAACAAGAGCCAAATGGACTTTGTGGTTTTCTT